GCCTGTATAGAACTAGGCCAAACGACCCAAAACATGTTATATCCTTAGCACAGTAATGAGTGACATTTAAAACAAAGTCCAAGGTTTTCTACTTATTGTAGTTGTGTGAGAAACAACAAGTTCAGTTGCCAATTCGCGATCACTTGACGACGGTTCATCTTCCAAAACAGCAATCATTGGATCTACGTTGTTCAACTTTGCTGGACGTCCTAAACGAGGCTTGTCTTTGAGCTCAGAATCTTGGGCGTATTAAGGAGCATTCAAACCAACGTTCAGCAGCGGATCTGCTTGTAGTGCCTTCCTCTTCAACTTCGTTGATTTCGTCGACTGCAGCTCGCTGTGAAAAAATAAGGAGCAGTGAAACACGACTTCGATTGTATCGTTGGATATGGCGGGGGCTTGTAACAAAGTGACGAATAAAGACGAATAAAATCCAGGCCTTCAGTGTGAAAATCTCACATAACAAACTGTATCATTCCCATCATATACATGGGAGTGAGTTAATTCATGCTTATCGATGTGCCCCAGAACTTCCATCCCAACTTAGTATAACCATCTTGCCAGAAATTATGCGTACACCAAATTAGTTGTGAAAAAAGGAATAATTTGGGATCCTTAGCAATGAAATTTCGACCACTATCTTACAGCTCCGAGAAGAATCTGTCGATTAAAATAAAAACTTGTCAATTGCTAGTTTTTCTATGAAACCTTATTGTATTTTGTAGCGTGTGACGTAGAATAGTTCCCATTGAATAGGATCAGAGAGTTGGCAAACTAACGTATGTAACTATGATCATCAGTATCATTTTTAATTTCGAGTCTCAGGCTTGGTCGAATGAAAAGGTTTTGCTATATACGCTCTACCAGTCATTGAGCAATCGACTATAAATCACTGTAATGTTAAATGATCTTTTCACATGACGTGCAGTGATACATGTTCGTTGCCAATATCCTTAGTCGTAGGGGTTCGGCTGAACGGAAAGGGACCGTGCTCCTGATGAGGTTTGCTCAAAGGACAGTGCGTACGTCTAGCACTATAAGTATCACGCCAGAACCCTGAAAGCCTCAAGCTATATAACTAGTTTGAACAGAAATCTTTTCATTTGCCCGCTTCTAGCGGTGATATGATGTTATAGATATACCCAATGATGTACTCTGACTGGACTCAATGTCAATATCGATTCCTTAGACTAAACTGTTGACGGTCGACTGATGACAGATAGATGCGTTGTGGCGCAAAAAGCGTGGTGATAAAACAGGCGTCGGTGGTGCAACAAGTTAGAGTATGTGCCCGCGAATAGGGTAAAATGCAGGTTCGAGTCCTGCAGGACGCAAAAATTGTGTACACCACTCCACATCATTGGGTATGATATCAGATACATTTTTTCTTTGATTTCTTCTAAGCTAACATTGAAATAATGGGATATCAGCACTTTTTCAGCCTTTTCTGCCATCTTCATATTCATCATCTAAGGAATTCCTTCAATTTTACGTTCAGATTCGGTTTCTACTTCAAAATTTTGAGCCTTCTTTTATGTTTGTAATTATAATTTCGATCAACTAAGTCATTTTCTGAATCCTGTGGCAGCTGTGTTGGAGCTTTGCTGGTGTTCACCAGTGGCAGCAGTCATCGTTTTCGGATAGCTCTCCCTATGCGAGTTCCTTACGAATTTTAAGACTCTACAGGAATGAGAGACCTGAATGATCTGTGGTGGGGTTGAACTGGCGTCTCGCGCTTGTTCAGCACTTTCTCTACAGAGCTGCTCTTTTCTTATCACCTGTATCACCTGTCGTCCCGTTGATCGTCGAGTGACTCGAGCGGGTACCAGCACCTCTTCCATTTTTCCCTATCGCGCGCAAGAGTAGCCCAGTGGGTCCTCCTTGCTCTAGGAATTCGCTGAGCATCATATCTTTCTTCCATCGCTTTCGTGAAGAAATCGGACCAACGGGTCAGTGGTCTTCCTTTAGAGCGCTTGACGTCCCGAGGAATCCAGTCGGTAACGGCTCTCGTCCATCGGTTGTCGTTGAAGCGCATCACGTGTCCGGCCCACCTTATTTTCGATATCCTGGCATGTAGAACGGCGTCTCTGATTTTCGATCGTTGACGTAGGTCGGAAGTTCGGATCCTTTGTCTTATTTGCGAAATACGAGATACTCCTAGCATCGACCTTTCGACTGCGCGTTCGATAACGGCAAGTGATCTTTCATCCTGCTTACGTAGCGACCATATAGCTGACGATAATTTCTCAATTTTAGTGAAGTAATTTAGGAGTCCAGAACATGATAGCCTTATAGAAGATGGTATTCTCTTGCATCAATCACATACATAGTTACAGTATCCCATCAAATTTATACATATACTGGAATTAAGACTTCCAAAAGTTTGAAAATTACAGTTTTAAGCTAAAAGAATCTAATACAGAAGTGATAACTGCGAACATGAACGACACATTGTTAAACATCGTTGTGTCTTTCTAGACAATTCGAATTAAGAGCTTGGAAGTGTAAAGCGGTGAGGAGTTTAAGCGTAAAAGCTCCAGTAGAAAAAAACTATCGTGTTAAGACAAAGAAACTTTTACTCGGCAAGCAAAGAATTTTAGATCTTAACATTCGTTATTTTAACAAACGCAGTTCAATATGAATGGAATATGCTCATTCAAATTGAAGGTACTGTACTTTGGCAGTATATATCTCTTATAGAAATCACAATGGCAGTCGCGTAAAGGTTGACGAATTTCCAGTGATATCACGGTCCTGGTATACTAAGCTCATTAGCATCTGGATTGCAGATTTGCTTTTGGGCAGAAAGGAAAAGAGACAGAGTTTTTGCTTTCTAAGAGACCTTTCATCACTTCACTAACCTCTTCGCTACCATGTTCTCCTCATGACATCAGAAGTACTGACTTGATGTATCTCATTATTTATATTTGAGCCAACATGTCATGTGGTCTGTTAATGGGCTCTTGTACACCCCCGATGCACTTGTTTCGGCTTTGCAGCCTCGTCAGTCGGGCAAGCCCCTCGTCTTCACCCAATCCTCTCGGGGGCCTCTACTCTCTCTATAAAGAGGTAGGCGACGACGAACGATTTACACAATCGCCGTCAAGTGAAAAATCACAACAAAATGTCGATCTTGTGATTTTTCACTTGACGGAGATTATGTGAATCGTTCGCCGTCACCTACCTCTTTATAGAGCGAGTAGAAGCCCCCGAGAGGATTGGTTAAAGGCGAGGGACCTGCCTGGCTGAGGAGGCTGCAAAGCCGAAACACGTGTATCGAGTCTTACAAAAGCCCCTTAATAGGCCGCATGACTCTTGGCTCACATAAAGAGAGGTATATGGGAATTTGAGCGTGGTCTTAATAAAACACTGGAAATAAGAAGTATACTGACCTGATATTTTGATAGATCTTTGCAAGTAATTGTATATGCTGATCTCCTGCTGTATAGGCCTTCACTTATTTCCACAGTGATTGAAATGGGTTCAAAGAGTGAGGCATTCATCGTCAACGTCAGGTGCTCATATACACTTGCGACCTCGCAAAACTTCCTTTATGTGACTATGATCGGAGAGATCTTGCTCGCCTCAACTACTTTTATCATCAGAAGACTACCCCGAGAGGGATCAGTTACGGGTTCGGGTCCGTCCCACTTGAGTCGGCACTTAACATCATTGGGTATAATCACATAACTTGTTTCGAGCCTTTTGTTAGGTCTAGTAGGGTGCCTATACAGCACTAGACGGGCCCATTTCGCCCTTGTAAGTTCATCAGTAGCACAGCGGCTTTCGGTCCAGCCAGTTCATTTAGGATGCACAGCTGCTCGTAAAGGAATCGACGCCGAATAACATATCACCGCAAGTCAGGTAATAAATCCGCCGACATTGCAGTGACCAATAGACGAGCTCGTGACTGCTAAAATGAATAATACCTCATTATTCGACTGTCTTTATGGGCTACGCTGGGTTCGGCTGAACCGATAGGATTGTGCTACTGATTAGCCTGCAAGGGTGAAAAGAGCCCTTTTAGTACGGTATAAATTCCCTACCAGACTTCACAATAGGTTAAAAACAAGTTATGTGATTGCATACTAGTATGAGCGAGGTCTATAAAAACACTCCAATGAAGGAGTATCATTGGGTATATTCATAGGATCATCACACCGCTAAGCAGAATTCTGTTTGATCATACATATATCCAAGATCTGTCGGCGTGACTGGGTTCAGCGTCGATATCGACCACCAGGGCAAACCGTTGACGGTTGGTTGCTGACACACTGATGCGCTGCAGCGTAGAAAGAGTGGTGGCAAAACAAGAGGCGGTAGTGCAATGGCTAACTCACGCCCCCGGAAAAGGTGATACACGGGTTGGAATCCCGGCCGACATTCGAAATTCTGCACATTACTCAACATTATCTAGTAGCATGTCATCGATATGAGTGTCTAAAATGCAAGTAGATGGGGCTTCAAATTACCTGCTCGGTAAATGAAATCCATATCCCATTTAGTTCCCAAATGGTCTACCGTATCATCATGGCTGAGAGGTGTTCCTCGGTGTCGGACTGTGAAGTACAGCGCATGGTTCAGCTTCAGGAAATCCAGACAAGCTGAGAGGGAGTTTGGTGCTTTCACCCGGAGAACCCAGCTGAGGGTTAGCTGTCCCAGGAATGGCCGCTGTGTTGGTATCTACCGGTCGCAAGGTGGTAACTCCCTCTGATCCACAAGGTCCGGTGATTGCTCCAATGTGTCGAGGACCTGAGGAAACCCCGCCTAGGCCAGTTTCTCTGTGATCAGGCCCACCCTGTCAGTGAAGATGGGCCATCCAAGTTTGAGAGTAAATAGGTATGTCCGTATAAACTAATAGGCTCATTAAGTGACCAAAGATAGAGAGAGTGGAGTATTGAAAACGTCTTGCTTACTTCATGCTACTCTCACATTTCTTAGAGTAGGCGGCTGACAGCTACGATAGAGCGATATTGAAGAATGAGTGGTAGCTAAACGGTGCCTCTGTGGAGTAGTGGTAGCACGCGCCCCCTTTCTGGGTGGAACGCGGGTTCAACTCCCGCCTGAGGTCAAATTTTTGCTCGTGACTCAGTTTTTCTAAAGGTATTCGGAAGATTATAACCGTGCTAAAAAGCAGTTATAAAAAGCCGTGGGAAATCCTGAGTTTGTTAGAGTTTCTGACGAAATTGAGCTGCCTCAACACGCTGCGGCCTCCCGATAGGATTATTTTCCATCCTTTCACTTCAATACGACGGCTGTTACTCTATGATATCCTTTCTACTTTATTTTATATTTCCTTTTTTAAATTTTATTCTATTTTCCTTCCTTTTCTGATTTTTATTTCTCCTCGTTTTCAGTCAGAAATCTTTTTATTTGACTGCTACTTGTAGTGGTACGATGCTATAGCACATCCAACAATGTGGAGTGCTGTGCAAAAACATTTGCGTCAGCCGAGATACGAACCCAGATCTCACTCTTTCCGGGAGCGTATACTAACCGTTGCGCCTCCTTGTTTTGTTTTTCTTCAGTTCCTATATGGTAACTGTTACGATGTCATTCTTCATAACAAGTGGAAAAATATGGATTCAAACTACAAAGTATCTAATTAGTTTACAAAACGTTTACAAATATCTGAGCTGAGAGATGTGAAAACGTGCTACAATCCATAACTCCTGCGCCACTACTGGATCGAGGAAACTCGTCCGTGTTCACGTCCACCAATTGGGACCATACAGATCGGTGTCATTGCGCCTATCCCATCAGCATCGAGTGGTCCCAGTGGACGTTTCTTTGAGGTGGCTGAGCTTCGATCGAGGTTGAACCCGCGTGTCTCGCTTTCAAGGGGCGTGTGCTAACCACTGCGCCATTGGGGATTCTATTTTGGAATTAGTTTTATTTTTGCGGAATGTATGGCATCCTCGTTATTGGAGCCCCGGGTGCCGGTAAATCGACGTTTTGTGCTGGATTGGCGGATATTTTCGATCAAATTCAGCGGTCCTACATCACTGTAAATCTGGATCCGGCCAACGATTCAGTTCAATACGATGCCTCGTACGATATAAAGGAGTTGATCACCGTCGAAGAGGTGATGGACCGACTTGGTACGTTCCCGCCTTTTCCGGTACTTTTCCGTTATCTGGTGACAAATGAAGAAACCAGCCCTCCGGTCGGTGGACAAGAACTTTCCACGTGGATGTTAGGAGAGATTTGAAAGCTTAAATCTCTGCCTACTGCGCTACGTGCTCCTTTTTTGAAAAGACCCTCTCGTAACGCTGTAGCATTCAGAATAAGATTTTGTTTCACACTTTCCGTGGCGCCTTCATTTTCATCACGCATAAATTCGCTGGAAGCACGAAAAGCACATGAACTTGTAGAGGAAATCTTGTACTGTCGGAATCATACATTTTATCTGTAGCTTCTTCTAAAACGAAGAAAAAAATCCCAATCATTTAGCCAGAATTGCACTCCACATGTGAGTCGCGCCTGCGCGACCGATTGATCGCCGCGTGGGATCCGCGGTCAGCACGCGCTAGCCGGCAGGCAGATGCGCGGCTCATGAGGAACTCGATATTATTTTCCTTGCTACACTCCAGAGAGTCGGTTTTTCCAGTGAGTAAGTACAGCGTTCGAATCGTCGAAATTTACGCCATTGAATAGTTACTCATAGTTCTAGGGAACAGTTCTGTCTTTCGAGAAATACTCGTGTGTGAAACACAAATGTTTTTTCCTCTGCTAGAGCGTTATAAGAAGGCTTTTGCAAGGAGCAGCTACGTAGAGAAGTAGCCAGAGACTTTAGCATTCCAATGATTACTAACACTCTTATGAAAATTCTTGTCCAGCAAGGAGGGAGGGTTACTTCTTTATGTGTCCCCGGATTCCCAGAAAGAACCTCGTTTTTCTTGAGAAATTATAAATTGTACTCTTGGCCGGATTTTCTTCTTTATAGGCATAGGACCGAATGGAGCTCTAAAGTATTCGATCGACACTCTCTGTCGGAATCAAGACTGGTTATTGCACAAAATTCAGGATAATAAGGACAAGTACGTCGTCATCGATTGTCCTGGGCAGCTCGAATTGTACAAGTGCGAAGGCGAACTGTGGAAGGTTCGTATATGTGTTTTGATCTTTTAGTTGTTTTGATTTTGTTTTCTCAACTTCTATAAGGAGCACGTGTGGACGGTTCGCCCTTATAGGACCGTGGACCCACGGCCTCTGCGTCTCTAACCTTCAACGTGTGCCGTCTACCTTCAGAGTGCTGTGTGTAGAAAAGGTGCTTAATGGCGTCCACCATTGTTAGACGCAGCACTCTGGAGGCTAGGCGCCATTGTTAGATGCAACACGCTAAGGTCAGAGAAGCAGAGGCCGTGGGTCCACGGTCCCGTTAGGGTTAAAGGTGCTCGGCGGCGCACCGTTCGATCAGTCGATGGCTGGTGGTTCGATCCGCACCCAGGGCTCATCAAGCCTTCCATCTCTACTGGGCCGGTGAACTGATGCCAGAATTGTCTTGGAGGTAACAGCACTGACTTGATATATTGGTAGGGCCACATATGGGCATCAGACTCAGTTAACCTGACAGAGTGGTTGCAGCACGATAGCCTCTCTGATGTGGTGGTAGTACGTGTCCCAGTAGAGGTGAAGCGCGGGTTCAACTCCTGCCCGAGGTCAAGTGTTTTGCATACCACTCAGAATTCTTGGATTTATTTTTAGCTATCTTATTTTTGTTTTATTTTGTTGTTGATGTTTATCTGAAAGTTGTGTTCAAGCTGATCCGTAATCTCGAACGTGCTGGTGTTCGCCTCTGTGCTGTACATCTCGTCGACGCCCTCTATTGCTCCGATGCAGCCAAGTTCATCTCGGTTGTTATGTCCACATTAGGTGAGTATTTCATTTCATTCAAACCATTTCTTAATTTGTAACCCACAGTTGTTCTTTTTTATTTTAGCGCTTAAACAGTAGTGCTGTGTATTAACACTTTGAATCGACTATTTTGAGACCTCGCTCAAAAATAACGTATCCTCACAGCGTATTTTATACTTTACATGAGGTTTGTTAGAGCACTTATAAAGTGCTAGACACGTGTTTCTCAAGGCTAAAACTCTGACATTAGGCTGTATAGGTGCCCATAACAGACCGCATGCATGGCTCAAAAAATGAGTATCAGGCATATCGAAATTCGAATGTGGTCTTGAGAAAGCACTCGAAACGAACGAATTATGAAACCATAACACTGCTAACAGCATATCTTGAGCCTATCATGAGCTCTGTTATAACTCTTACAAAATGCTAGACACGTGTTTTGGCCTTTCAGCCTCATCAGCAGCACGGTGCCTTTCGGTTCAATCAGTTCCTTGTAGGAGGATATACCCGCTATTCCTTCATAAGTAGAGCGGATATCCTCTTACAAGGGATTGACTGAATCAAAAGGCACCGTGATGCTGATGAGACTGAAAGACCAAAACACGTGTCCAGCATCTTGTAAGTGTTATAACAGTGCTCATGATAGGCTCATGATATGCTGTTAGCAGTGTTATGGTTTCATAATTTCGTTCGTTTTCAAGTGCTTTCTCAAGACCACATTCGAATTTCAATATGCCTGATAATTATTTTTTGAGCCATGCATGCGGTCTGTTAAGGGCACCTATACAGCCCAATGCAAGAGTTTCAGCCTCGGCAGTCTCGTCAATTGGGCATTGCCTTTCTTCTTAGTCATAGCCAATCGTTTCAGGAGGAAGTCAACCCCTCCCCCCTCCCCCACATAGAGGACACGCAGACGTACTACTTACACGTTCATCAAATGAAAGAAATCACTGGATCGGCAGTGTTGTGCACTCGATTGCTCTTAGCTGGTATTTATGAAATATACCGTTCGTTTCGAGTTTTTTTTATAAAGACCAGTCAAGAGCAATCGAGTGTGCAACACTGCCGATCCAGTGATTTCTTTCACTTGATGATACTTGTAAGTAGTACGTCTGCGTCTCCTTTATGTAAGGGGGTTGGCTTCCCGGCAAAACGATTGGCTAAGACGAAGGGCACAATCTAATTGACGAGGCTGCCAAATCTGAAATGCGTGTATTGAGCTGTATCAGTGCCCATAGCAGGCAATGTGCATGGCTCAAAACATGACTGTGAGACATTTTTATGAAATTATATCTTCAATAATGTTGTGTAAGCCATCAGAGCTCCACATCCTGACTCAAATAAGCCAGCATAGCCGGACAATAATATTCAACAGAGCTGACAGAGCTCAACAATCAATTGAAACGAACAACCTCATCCCTGGGTGGAACTTGCGGGGGCATTCAATCATCCCCGGTAAAATCAAGTGATATATTTACTCAAACATTGAGCATGTACTGCTTAAATATATTGCGTCTTCTTTCTATATATTATCTTTATTATTGAATGTACTGTAAACGTCATTGCCATACGCATACGCTGGATTCCATACGAAATTATGCGTTATAAAATAACTGCGTATTTTAATGATATCGAGCGATATGCATGACATTCGACCCCGCGCGGAAGTTGAACTCACGTTTTGTGTAAAAAGTTCGTGCCGTTTTGGTTTTCCTATATAATTTGTGCAGTGAAATTGCATGGTTTTTATAATGTTCAATAGCGCGTTTTCTTGAGGGAATTCTGGTTTAGAACTTGCCTTCATTTGCTTTGAGATGGAGCAGTCGTGAAAACATATTTGCTTGCTATCCATACACTAATGGCACTTAAAGGAAAATGCTAGTGAAGCGGCACGCAAGATTAATGGAGGTCGGGGCGATGAAACGGTTGCACAAAAGACGGCTAGGAAGTGGCTCAGCAAGTTCAAAGCTGGAGATAACGGTCTGGAGGATCAATTTCACTCAAGCCATCCACAGGAGGCTCCACTAATCTTGCGAGCCTCTTCACTAGCAAGTTCTCCTGCGCCCCCTTTTTACACGAGTAACAGCAATTTTGGGCGTTTTTTGTTTTTCATCAAAGAGTGTCTGCAATCGTTCGGAAGCTCAAATCTCAAGCTAGCGCTAAACGTGGCTGGTTTTTGGAAGGATCCCTTTGTAAAGCTGAAAAGCTCCAAAGA